TTTTACTTAACCTAAACTTAATTATCTAAACCTTAACTTATAACTTAAAATTAAACCTTTAACCATTTATAATATCTAAACTAATTATAAACAACTATAAAATTACTTCTTACTGTCATGTTTAGCTTGATTATCACGACTTTCTTTCTTCTCTTTTTCCAACTGACGTATTCTAGCATCAGACGCTTCTTTCTCTTTTCTAGCTGTTTCTAAAGCATTTTGTACTAACTTGAGAGCTTTATCTCTTTCCTTAAGGAGCTTTGCTTGCTTCTTAGCATCTTCATGAGCATTAAGACCTACACCAACAGCTGGAGTAGTTGATGTACTGGCACTTGCAGCTGTTTCAACTACATTAGTTGGAGCATCAATAGTTGATGACATCATAGTATCTTTGGATGCAATAGCAGCCTGTCTGGTGCTGATTTGAACTTCCTCTAACCTAGCAATCAATTTTTTGGGCTCCATGTTAGAAGGAACACCACCAGTGGCATACTTAGCAAAGATATCAAAAGTAACTTCATTAAAGTTCTTACCCTTCTTGACATATTGTTTTCCAATCTTAGAGATTATCGAGAACTTAACCTTATCATCTTTGATATTCCTAGTTGCTACACAAGCAGCAACTAATGCTATAGCTGCATTGGAGTTATCAAGATGATGGCCATTTGACTGGCAACTATTGTTTATCATTGTTAAAACGGTAGCTTCAGTATAATCTTTATTGAACTGAATTGTCAATTCTTTGGACATGGAACACAAGTCATTCTTTGAAAAAATTGCACCAGATAGTGTTGTAAACAAGGTCTTAGGCACACTTGTTCCCAATGCTAAGACAGCCAACCTATCAAAAGTATCCATAGCTAGTAAACTAGCTTGTTTAACTGTTAATATCAGCTTGTTGGCTTCTGTTGAATCTTGGACCTCAGTCTTTTCACTTTTGTAAGTGGCAACAAAAACAACTTTACTAATTTTTGTTTTATCAGTCAGACCATCAATTGTGTAAGGAAATTTAAATCTCCAATACTTGTCTCCTGTTGTTTTTTTGACTGATCTAGACTCAGGTCCAACATAGTAAACCACTTTTGCGCAAAAGTCAACAGCTAGTGATTTGGTATCTACACTAATAGTTTCCATATAATCTTGACAATAAGATTTAAATTTCCTTTGTAATTCTTTGAAGTCCAATTCTATTGCTCCATGATCTGTAATGAAGTCTTTGGGGGTCATACCAATCATTTGGTAAGTTGCTTTTTGTGAATGTTCATTAAGCTGCAAAGGAGTTATCCCAGAAACTTCTAAGGAACTGTTATAATCATTAACATTGAGATTATATGCCTTGGCCACATCGTCTTGCGATACTGATGTTGGATGAGGCATCGCTGTTATTATTATTTAACTTAATAATAGAATACTCTATATGATGCCTTAACTCTGTAATTTCGAAGTTAAAATGTTCCTTAATGTTATTGATAATAATATCAATATCTAAGCTAAGATTATCACTATTATTACAAGTATACTCTTCTAAATATATATCTTCGTATCTTCTAGATACTTGCATCCAAACCTTGTTACTTACGTAACCTTCTATGCTTCGCAATGTTATACTATCAGTATACAAAGCTGAGCATTCACAAATTTTAATAAATTTATTATAGCTAACTTCTTCAAGTGGCACTATCTTTACAGAAACTACTATTTGATTACTTCTTTTGATATCGAAGTGAAATGCTTGATACATTAACCTTGTCCCTGCGTGCTGCTTACTTTCGAATCATGGTTGTTTTTAGTAATTTTTTTATATTAACCATGTTTCTAAATTATTCAGTATCGGAGCGTGAATTGCTCGTATCGGTGTAACTCATGGCTAACAAAAGTTTCATTTCATTATAGAGTAGGTCATTTTAAAAATTTTTGCTTTGTGGACCTTTCTATAATATTATCGTATCGTATCGAATAGTAAGTCTTACTAGTGACTTACTATTATCTTTTTGCACCTTACTGGTGATTATCGTCAAGTCTTAACGGAGACTTGTTTTTGTCGTTGCGCACCTTATTGGTGAGGCAGCGATGTCGACTTGTGGAACAAGACATGCTCATGAGTATTTTGTATATAGATATCTAGATTTGTTTTTGTCATCTTTAAGTTAGGTTAAGTTATGTTTAAATTTCCGTGTATGTGGTAACTCAAATCCTTTTTTTTTACTTCTTGAGGAAGTTATTCCCCCACTTTATGTTTTATGCTATAGACCCCCCCACTGGCTTAAGTAATTACCGATTTTGACTTTTACTGATTTTGATTACTGATTTTGACCCTATTAGGCGTTTGATATGCGTTAATTATCACCTAGCATAAAACCTGTCCCTACCTTTAAGTTTTTTTTAAAGTAGTTCAGGACTTTTCCGTCAGGCCAACATTGAACAAATGTTGCTACGATATTCATTGCGAGATCGTACGGCCTGTAGCTAAAACCCATCCAAGTGGTGATGGAACAACATCTTGCTAAACACCACATACTGAGTTACCACGAGTTATACCGTTTGGTATAATAGCCATTTGGCTGTGTACGTTTATAGTAAAAATGATTACTATAAAACCAAATTTTGATTTTGGACATTCGAGGTTTTCGATTGTCCCTTCGATAATGTATTGCTACATTTTTGACATTCGTTGGAGGGCTGGCCTGTTTCAGACACAGGACTACCGGTTGCCTCCCTTTTTTTTGTTTCTGGGACTAGTTCTCAGCATTAATGGGTTTGTCAGGATCCTTCCTCTTCAAGGAGAATTTGCTTGCCATTTAAATTTACATTTCTGACGTTTTACTTGCTTATGGTTTAGAGGCGTAGCATGCTTCGTTCCTCCTCTATATCTGTCACAATTTAACTTTTACTTTTTTTTTTTTTGTCTATGTTAACTCGCACATTCTAATTTTTTTTGGTTTGGATTTATTTGAGGTAATTTTGTTTTTGATCCAAATAGTTTAAATAATAAAAAAAATACTTCTTATTTTTTTTATTTATTTTTTTGGAGAGGGGCAATTGTGTAACCGTCATTTTGACAGCTACACATTTATTTTATTTTATTAGTTTTTTTTTACATCTAGAACGGTATGGATGTACACGGTATTTTATTTTTAGTTTTACTAATTGTTAAGTATAATTTTAACAAGGATAATTGTTTAGTTCTTTAAATGCCTCTTTCCAAGAAAATCTATTAGTTTTATTGGAATTCCTTTTACTGACACATGAATAGCATTGCCGGTATTTAAAACTCTTTTTAAGCCAGTTCTTTTAATTTTATTCAAAAACGGTAATTTGATAGTATGCAACACAAACACTTCCGTGTGAGGTTGGTTGTATGTAGTTATAATGATAATTATAATTAATATATTCATATGAATATTATGAAATATTTTGGTAGCTGGTTTGCCGTTATTGACAATTTAGTGTCAGTGGAGGGAATTTTCCAAATGATTGCGTTTAGGAGGGTATGTATTTGGGTTTTTGGGTATGTTACTAGGATTTAAATAAGGGGAATTCTCTAAGTATTTGTGTTTGAGGCTTGAGTTCTGGTGGACTTGGTGGGAATTCTTTTGAAAAATGTTTGTTAACATAGGCAACATAGCCAGATTGGGTTCGCGATTTTTCCAGCAGGTTTTCTACGCATTAATTTAGCTACGCACTAAATTGACTACGCAACAAATTTTAAGTGAAGCGTCCTTTTCGATTTGGTTGTTGAAGCGATTAGATGAGAGTTAAATTTGTGCTTAAATTATGGAAAATTTCCAAAAATACGTGGTAAATCTCTCAATCTAATTGTATAATTCCGACCAAGACAATTTTCGTTTGGTACGATGAGCTCTGGGTGAGTTTTTGGCCTGTTGCTGAAATTAAATGTTTTATCCACGAGGTTCTCCATTTTAGGGTTGTGTTATTCCCTCATTTTTGGTCTTTATGCAGTCCTGACGTTGTATAGTTATAAAAACTCCTTTAAACAAGGGTAAGTTAGGTGGTTAATAGTTTTTTTTAGATGCTTGGGCATCATACCATATTTTTTTTAGGGTTTTTATGTTGGAGTTTTTTGTAAGACTTTTTATGTCAGATTTGTTATAAAGGAATGGTTTTTTACCCTGAACTTGTTTTGGATAATGGCAAGTTCTTACGTTATTTAAAAGCCATCCTGTATAATCTGACATGGTAGGAGACTTCAACATCGGAAGCCAACCCATTCGGAGACACAGTCTACCAGGGCCCCAACTAAGAACAGGTCGTACCAATTTTAAATATTAATGTTCACGTACACTACACTCCTTATAATATATTTTGTTTGTGTACTTTTAAGTTGAGAGTTCAACATAGTTATTTTAAGTATATTTTTTTTGTAGCATCGATAATATTTTGTCAGTTATCAGACTTTGGTTTTTGTAAACCATATATGGCCATATAAGGGTGCACCATAATATTTATTATTACATGCAAAGTGATCATTTTAACATCGGTGAACAAATATAACTGATTTATATTTTTTTTAAACTTGACTTTTAATAACCACCCTTAGTCTTTAGTAAGATTGTGTCTGACTTACTTAGATTTTAACAACTGGCCATAATAAGACACTGGCGCCCAATTTTGGATTTATGTTAGTAAAAACACGTAAGTATTAAGAAACAACATTTGCCCATCGACCCATCTCACCACTGTAAAGCTGCCGTTCGCCATAGCCCTCGAGTTGAGGTTACAAATTCCTTCCAATATCTTCGGTGAAACCTAAAGTCGTGTCCTTGTGCCCTCATTTCGTCAATAACTTCTTTTATTGTTTGATACGATTTAATAAATGGATTTTCTGCTCAAAGCATCATTTCTAATCGTTCAATAATTTCTCTTGAAACTAATCGATCTGCTAAGAAATCTGCCCTGCGGTCGATAGCTTGTTCGGCGTCTACAAAATAATATTGGTTAAGTACAGGTTGTCTTAATTCTTGAGTGCGTGGTAACGCTTCTGTATAATGATAAATTTGACAGCACACACCATATTCTCCTTTCAGAAAAAGTATATACCATCGGATCTGACATTCTATTTAAATTTTTCAACTCTCTGTCGGCATTAATATTTTTCGGATAAATTTTAAGATCAACATTAAAGAGCGGCTCTTCACCACAAAATACAGCTGCTATATCGCTTCTACTTTCAGGAAGATTGTAATTTCTCAAATTCCTTCCAATATCTTCGGTGAAACCTTAAGTCGTGTCCTTGTGCCCTCATTTCGTCAATAACTTCTTTCATTGTTTGATACGATCTAACAAATGGATTTTCTGCTTGAAGCATCATTTCTAATCGTTCAATAATTTCTCTTGAAACTAATCGATCTTCTAAGAAATCCGCCCTGCGGTCGATAGCTACAAAATAATATTGGTTAAGTACAGGTTCTCTTAATTCTTGAGTGCGTGGTAACGCTTCTGTATAATGATAAATTTGACAGCACACACTGAAGCACCAATGCCCTTGGCCTTGTACATTTTGTGGCGTACTCGTTTTAAAAGACGCCATAGCGAACAGACTACTAATTGATCGTAAATTAGTTGTAAACAAACGCGCTTCGGCATTATCGTTTGTAAAATATGCACGTAATAAAGGAGGACACGACCTTACAGAAGGTAAATAAATTTCACCTTTGTTGCAACACAATCTTCGTTGACCTAATCTGTCGGCCTTTGCTTTTTCGTAATGTAATGCTCCGCAAAACTGACAATCTTGATTTAATTGACCCGCATCATATCTAGCTAGATTTTCAACTGCATTATTCCGACGGTACGCCTCATTGTAAGTTACTTTATGCGGCACAACAGCGTGCCTTCTTCGAGGTGCCGCCTCGACTGGTGTCCTTTCTAACATGTGCACTTGTTCTTATTCATCTTCATCTTGTTCTGCTTCTATTTCGATCGTTTGCTGCTGCAATGGTACAATATTTTCTAATATTTCAGGTTCCTGATTAAGTGGAACATTTAAGGCGACATCTGCATTATTATTATCAACATCATCATCATCCTGTTGTATTTCAACAGGTGGTGCTGCTACTACTACTACTGCTGTTGTTGCTTTATTGTCCGACACTGGTTTCGATTGTGCCTGCTGTTGTTTTAATTTCTGCTCACGTTCCAATCGATAAGGTGTTTTTCGTAATACTCGTTCCCGTACCATAATAGAATTTGCATCTATAGCAGAATCATCAGCAATTGCGGTTGCATGGCTAGTGGTAGCAGCAGTGGTGACAACTTGATTCCCATTCGCATCATCATCGGGCAATAAAGTTTGTATTTGTGACGGTTAATCGTTAGGCTGCAAAACCCCGGCTGCTGTTACCTCTGCGAATTCGCGTTCGCGTTCCGATTGACTACGTGTTTGCCTTTCTGTTCGTTGGCTTCTATTCAATGTATCACCCACTCTTGTTTTATGTTTCTTAGGCATATTAATGTTGTTGATTTATTAATATTGCTGCGAAAGTAATGTTTTCAGTATTTTTATTGCTATGCTTGTCTTCTTTAATTAAAGATTTTTAAATCGACGTCTATCTCCTCCTTGTTAGTATTGCTCCAATGCTGAAACAATAGAAACAATTATTAATAATTAAATTTTTGCGACAATTTCACTAAAATTAAATCTTCAAACTAAAATTTGCTGTTCGTTTAGCGTAACCCGGCGAGCACGAGCAACATTATGTTGCGGACGCGAACAGCATTACCCCCCATGTCGTGCCAAAAGGACGTGTTTTGGACATTTATGCATGCACCACCAATTATTATTTTATGTTAAATGTCTATTTAAAATCATTTTTTAATAATTTCTAATAGTATTTGCTACACGTATGTATTTTATTTATCGTGATATTGCACATTATTATTATTATTGCGCATAAAATAGAGTAGTCGAAACCAACGTACTTGTTGAGCGAAGTGTTCGAAACGGCTGGTCAATAGAATCGAAGTACGCTTTCATTTTCATTGGTTTTTTTTTAAAATTAGATTGCATATGTAAACTCCTGCATTGTCGCAACTTTGCAGAGTAAACAATTCGATAGCCAGCTTAAAATTCATTATTATTAAGATATTAAGTATGAATGGACAATCGTCCGGAACCATCGTACCTAAAACAGAAACAATCATTAGTAAAGAAATTTTTGCGATAATTTCACTAAAATTAAACCTTACAACTAAAATTTGCTGTTCATTTAGCGTTACCCGGGAAGCACGTGCAAAATAATTTTGCGAACGCGAACAGCAGAACGGGCGGATCATTTCTTATGCATTTGTAATACCAATAATTATTTCATAATCAAACTACGTGTGTAAGAGTTTGAGGAATCAATAATAAATAATTTTTTACACAGGTTGCACCTTCCTCGTTTCTTCGTATTTGCAGGAATTGCTCTATAAACGCTACGATTTTTCTTTGAACTTCCAAGCCTCTGTTCCATGTTTGGTTTAGCTAACTGCTTTCCTAGGGTTAGAAGAAATGTTTTTCTTGAAGAGAAGTTTGGATTTTTTGCTACATATATGACAAAACTATTTAGGCACCCAGTATCAAGGAGATTCATGAAGAGTCGATAAGGCCAGCGGGAAGTGCGTCTAGCACACGTGTATTCCCTTATCATCTTATCGGCATTGTCAACTGCCCCTTTAGTAGCATTATATGATAAGATCATGTCCGGTTTCCTATGTTCTTCGGCAGAAACAGACTTGTCTTGATGTTGCGTGGATAGCATATGGACCATTTTGTTTTTTTTGGTATGTAATAAACCATAGCCACCTTATCGGAAAAAGCAAATTCAGATGACAAAAACAGCTCGGCCTCTAGATATGTTCAGTTCCACTGGAGTGTCGGGCTTGTTCTTGCGCACAGTTTCGAGCAAGGTGAGATTTTTGGTGAGAAGAAATTCGGCCAGAGGTAAGGACGTAAAAAAATTATTTGTAGTAACACCTCGACCAGTACCATATAAAGGAGATACTAAATCTGTTACTACCCTGAAACCTTGATTTTTTTCAGATTGTGCTCCTGGCTGCTTGCCCGTGTAAATTTGCAGATTACTCGGATATGTTGTTTTCACGTCGGCTAGTGCCCAAATTTTAATACCATACTTTGCAGGCTTTGAACTTATGTACTGCTTGAACGGACACTTCCCTCTAAACGCTACCAATTGTTCATCCACTGTTACGTATTCATGGGGAACAAATGCCTTTTTACAATTCGAAACAAAATTTTCCTTTATGTCCCTGAATGCCGCAATCACTGCTTGACCAGCCTGATTTTCAAAAAAGTATGGTCCAATGATGCTCAAAGCCCAAAATTCGCACCAAGCAGTGACACGTTGTGGATGCATTTGTTTTTCGACAATCACATGTGGGTTCTCCGAACCCCAAACACGGCAATTTTTGGCGATTAACAAAGCCATCAAGGTGAAAATGTACCTCATCGCTTAGAATGATTTTGCTCGAAAAATCAGCCTCCACTTGCTGATGTGTAATAATCCATTCAACGAACTCTCTTCGCTGTACATGGTCATTAGGCTTCAGTTGTTGCGTTAATTGAATTTTGTAAGCATGGAGACACAGATCTTTGTAGATATAAAAACAATTTTGTTGTAAAGTTTCACGAAATTTATTAAATTTTGACAGCTGTTTCGCTATACAGTAGCTTCTTCAGAATGTATTAAAACTGAAAATAGTACAAAAATATATATAACAAAAAATATTGGTATTCTAGGTAAGGATTATCATTTAACATCTGCCTGTGTTACATAATAATAAACTAGGATCACATTCAGAAATACCTAATGGGAAAAACCTAATCTGTTTATAGTTTGTATTTTATTTATTAAATATTATAAAAGTGTGAATATTTTATATAATGCTATTGTTATATGTTAATAAAATTAAAATAGATTTAAAAGTGGTGAATTATTAGTTTCTATTTGATCATTGAGAATATTCTTAGTATTTTTAAGTTTATTAATTTCTAGAGATTCGAGTAGATTTAATTTAATACCTTTGTTTTCCAAATGTAATATTTTAAAGTTGTTATTAAAAGTATGGTTTTCTGTAATAAGATGTGACTTCGATCGACTTTTAGATTAATATATGATCTCCGATGTTCTTTAATCCTAGTAATAAAACTACGGCCGGTTTGTCCTATATAAGTTTTAGGACAATCTGTACACGTTAATTGGTATACGCCTGACTTCATATGTCTATTAGACTTATCTTTGTTATTTTTTATGAGCATACTTAAATTGTTATTAGTTTTAAACGCGATATTGGCATTCATGTTTTTGAAAAATGTGGAAACATGTCTCATGTTGGAACCTAAATATGTACAAGTATTGAACGTATTAATTGGGTTGATAAGAGAAGGGAAGGTTTGTTTAATAGCTAATTTATATCTTTTATTTTTGAGAATATTCGTAATTAATTTTGCTTCATAGCCATTGTTCACGGCAATTTGTTTTATTAAATTTAATTCGTCGTTGAAATCTACATTAGATAAAGGTATGTTTAAAAGTCTATGTATCATTGAATAAAACGCTGCTATTTTTTGGGACCAAGGATGCATAGATGAATTGTGTATGACTAAATCTGTATAACTGGGTTTGTGATATATTTTAAAAGTGTGAAAGCCTTTATTTTTTAGAATAGTAGTGAGAATATCATCTACATATCGACACCAATATAAAAAGTTTTTAAAATGTCCGCTTTCTTGGATGATTGATTCTATATGGTTAACAAAAATGTCCGCAAGTAATCGACTAAGAGGGTTACCCATAATTAAACCGTTACGACTAGTATAAATCTTGTTATTAAATTGGAAATAGTTTTTTTTTTAAGCAAATATCTAGAGTCCTTAAAATATCATTATTAATAACAGGATTGATTTTATTTAGTTCTAAAAGCTTTTCTATTAAATGGGTAGTTTCTAATGGAGGCACGTTTGGGAATAAATTAGTGATGTCGAAAGAGATTAATTTGGCATTGTCAGGTAATCGGATGTCTTTAATATTATTGATTAGTTCATATGAGTTTTTTACAGTAAATTTAGGTTTAAAATTGCAATGGGTTGATATTAAATTAATGAGTCTTTTAGAAATTTTGGTCGAAGGAGCAGAATAAAAAGATACTACAGGTCTAATTGGAAAATTGTCTTTGTGTATTTAATCAGTGAATACATTAAAGGTGGGCTGGGATTCATTAAGGTTAATTTGTAAATGTCTAAATCGGAAAAAATACTTTTCGGTTAATTTGTAAATGTCTAAATCGGAAAAAATACTTTTCGCATTTTTTATGATCTGTCTTACTTCTTCATTGTATTTTTTAGTGGGGTCTTTGGGTAATACTGTGTATTTGTCTAAAGAAAGGAAATTTTGGGTTTTATCTAAATAGTAAGTTTTATTAATGGCGATAACTGTTTGTCCTTTGTCAGCTCTAGTGAAAATTATATTTTTACTTTTTTCTTTAATTGATTTAGCTGTATGTTTCTCAAGAGAATTCTTATGTTGAATAGTAAACTTGTTAGTAATAATTTCTGACGCTATAAATTTAAGGTTTTTACTATTGTCGATTTTGTTTAAAGCTAAATCTATTTCTACTCCTAAATATTCTAACTGTTTGTGTGTTATTTGAGTATGTATATTGTGTTTAAACCCTTTTTCTATTAATGCAGTTTCTTTATTGTTAAACGGAACCTCTGTGAGGTTGATGAATTTTTTATGAAAAATGTGATTCGAATAAATTTTGTTTTCTATGATAGGTGGAGTTTTAGTTTTTAATAGTATATTGATTTTGTTTCTCTGTTTTAAAATTTTTTTATGTATAATGTTATTAATTTTATACCTAATATTATAATCAATGATATCAAATTCAACTGTACTGAGTCTAAAAGTTAATTCTGAATGTATCACCTTAATATATACGTTATAGGCATCTCTTTTTCT